AGTGGAGGTGTGTGTATGAATCAGATCAGCAATGTAGGGGGGTGCCTGTCTCTGTAATGCTCTAAAAGTTAAAACTAGAATTTTTAAATGGAACCTGAATCTGATTGGTAGCCAGTGCAGCGACTTTAACACAGGGGTCATATGAGCACCCTTGTTCAAGCGGGTCAGTAGCCTCGCTGCAGAGTTTTGAACAACCTGTAGGCGGGATAGCCCTTTCATGTTTAGACAAGTAAACAGGCTGTTACAGTAGTCAAGTCTTGTAGAGATAAAAGCATGTATCATCATCTCGAGTTCACTTGTTGACACGATGGATCTAAGTTTAGAAATGTTCCTCAGGTGAAAAAAGCAGGTTCTTACTGTCTGATTTAGATGTCCCTCCAAAGAAAAAGCTTCATCAAAAATGACACCCAAGTTTCTAAGGTTATGTTTCTGGGAGGAACCTAAGTCACCCAGTCGCCGTTTAATATCAGGTATTGCACTGCCTGGTGCAATAATCAAAGTTTCTGTTTTGTCTGTTTTGTAAGGTGTCGTCAAATGAAAACAGGAACAGAAGGAGAAAAAAACAGAGTGAGGGAATCAAGGATGGAGAGAAGCAGAGTGCAACAAGCCAGAGAGACATGAGAAAAAAGAGAGAGAAGTAAAGACTCTCTGTACTCCAATGGGAGACACATGCCTCTGCACCCATGGGTGAGTTATAGATCTGTGCTCTTACAGTTTGCCCAGCACCCAAAACAAGAAAGAGCTGCTGTGATTTGGCCCAAATTTCAGACGGAGAAACGGCTTCGCTCCAACTCACCACAACAAAGCTCAAATACTGTGTCTGTGTGTTTGTGTGAGTGAGTGGGTGGTCGATTCATCCACCAAACAGAGCAAACTATAGACACACACACACTCTGTTGGTAATACATGGCCTTCATCCATCTGTACTTCATTAATATTCTTTTTTAAATATTGAAAGTTAGACTCAAAGTAAGACTGTACACTGTTAGTATGAGAGACGTCAGTGTTTCTGTCTCTACTTTATCTTTTTAACTGTGATCTGCATAAAAGTGGAATAAGTTAAAACACTGAAAGAGAACACACACAGATGCTCACCTATGATCTGGATGATCTGTGCCAGCAGGACTCCATCGGTGACATCCTGGCTCAGGTCCTTGATGAGACGCGAACAGCCAGACTTGGCCAGGTAGTGATTGGCCCAGTCTGTGTAGATCTGTAACCACAGAACAAACACTCTGTCAGTTTGTGTGTGTGTGTGTATTGCTTTAGACCCATTAGTTATACCACACAGCATCCCAACAAATCATAACATTAGTTATGGGGCGGGATGTCGAAAAGACTGCACACTGAATGGCAGAAAGGAAGGGATGCTGAGTTTTGTGGCTTTGCTCTAAAGGCTACTTGAACCTTGCTGACTTTGATAGCCTTCAATCACAAAGCCAGTGCTGAGATCCCCTCCCCGCCATCCATCCTATAACAGCGTTCTGCTCTGCTCCTCACACTTTACAAGAGAAGTGGTAAATGCCTGCCAGGGAATAATGTTCAAACACTCCGATTCCTTGCACATCTTCGCTGCTCAGGCACAAATATTTCATCAAGTTTTGACATTCGGGCCCAGACACAAACACACACTTCATCCTTAATACTAGTTCTCTATCTGATGCTGGCATTTGATTTTAAAATGACAGACTGCACAACTACTACAGAATATTTACCAAACACCCAGAAAACTAGAACACTGCTAAACAAATTTGAAACAGAACAGATTTGAAAAGTAAAACACAGATCCAGATGTTTGCAGGAACAGGTGAATTCACTTCCTAACTGAATCTTTCAAACCTGGAAGGGCAGCAAGTCATACAATCCTTTGCATAGTCGCCTAAAACTCTTAACAGAATCTTTATCTTTCATTAAAGCCCATAAGCTGACTAATAAGTGAAGCTTTGTCTGTTGAGATGCAGATAAGTCTTGACAGCTGTTGCACATTCACCAGGCTCCAGAGATGAAAGATGTGAATCACATTTGGCCTCCAAGTGCTTGGCCCCATGCACTATACAGAAGAATCAGAGGCTATGCAGGGCAAAGGATTTCCCTCTAGCTTGCAAACTTTACCCTTCAATCTTCAAGATTTCCTTCCAGACTCCTCGGACTAAGAGTCAGGAAGCAGTACCAGCTCTTCCCACTGTGATGTGGGTGCATTTGATGCAGATTTTAATAGACAGCCATAGATGAAGTCTTTCGTCCTAAAAGGCTCGAATGGAGATTCAGCAGCAGCCCTTATAAAGACACCAACTGCTACAGCGCTGCTTGTTAAAGCTGTTCTTGTAATCCCAGATGAAGAAAAAAATCCAACACAGACCTAAACAGCATGAATGACTCTGTGAAGGGAAAATCCCCTCAAAAATGTAAGATCATCCACAAGAGTAGGAATCTACAACTTAAAAAAGGATCTGATTCTCTTGAGTTGAACTTTGAGATTTAATCATGAATAAAAAGTCTACATGAAGCCACACAGCAGCTCAAATTTGAGACATTTCCTAAGAAATTTCCATTAAAAGCCAACCATTTCCCATGTTGAAGTAATCCTCAGATCCCCTCATTTACCTCACACGCTGCTCCCAATTAAAAGCATTTCTCCCCCGCTCTTTCCTTTTTCTTGGAAGCGGGAAGTTTGCTCCTTTAAAGTTGCCGCCTCTCATACATTTGTATCTGTTGTGGTTTCCTTCAGCAACTTTGTCCATGATGAGAAGTCGTAAAGTGTAACCCCGAAAAAATGAGAGCCGTCATCGGGGAAACACCCGTTTCAATATGAACGCTGGAAAACAGACCTGGTCGCAAAAAAGAGGCGCACGCTCGCAAATGAGGAGACTTACGTAGACGCACCGAAAAACACGCTGTAAATGCAAACCGCGTCCCATCAGGGGGCGAGTAAACAAACAGGAAAGAGAGACGGGGTGGGGGCGGCGAAGTGTGTGAAAAACAGGAATAAAGAGTGTGTGGCGGCTACAATTACAGCAGGCTGCAGGACATTTCAATAAGGCTTTCGCAAAATCTGCTCAACTGCTAAGGTCATCGAGTCGACACAAGCTCAAAACTGAAGACCAAAGATGAAGGAACGGGGGTTTGATTTGTGTCATATTTAGCAGCCACCGTCTTCTGTTCCTGTTGCCTTTTAAGGAAAGAGATGTTTAAGGCCTCTGCGGGGGAATGCAACCAGACACACTCACGTGAGCATTGGTCAAGTTCCCATAAGACACACTTGGGTAGACAATTCAAAAAAAAAAATCAAGAAAAAAATGGGAAATTATTCACTTCTACTCATTGAACTGGTTATTAGAAGTCAGTTTGTCAAATTAAACAGCTGGTGGCAATAATTCTCCAGTTAGATGCCATTGGACCATTGCAGAAGAAGAAGGCATAACCAGAGAGTCAAGATGCAAGTTTCATCTATTAATCTAACTAGGGATGCACTGATACCGATACTGGTATCGGGTATCGGGGCCGATACTGTAAAATGTGTGTGTACTCATACTCGTAAAAGT